ATCAAATAAATATCACTTACAACACACCGCAAAACCGTTCCCTTCGGTAGTATTGAAGCAGCAATGAATATGTGCACGCCCATGAATGATCGAAGTATAAATAAGAATAATCCGATCGGAATATAGCAGTAAAGTATGAATTTATTTATTATTGACGATGACGTCTCTCGATTCAATAAAAACAACTGTCGAATCAAATGTCGATCATTATTATTTACGTGTGCAGATGAGTCAGCACTTGTTGATGCCGACTGTGTCGATGCTCTGTTGCCTTCTGCCATCTGTTTATCATTATCAGTATCATACACCGATGAAATGCAATAGTAATGAAAACAGATAATTGTTCAAGAGGTGATCTACCACAAACACAATCGCTTAACCGATCACAGCAACGCTCCAATCAAACTGTTTACCTTGAATCTGCTTACAATGTACAATTGCAATAAGCAGCATTATATTAATATTCACAAAATAATTTCATTTCTTCAAATTAAAACATCACATTTTCTAATTAATTTGTACTCGAATATATCACATATACATATATTTACAACAGGGTTTTTCAACCAAGAGTGCGAGATGTTACTCCAGGGGGTGCGAGATGGGGTTTTATTTTTTGTATACTGAAATAGGCAAGGACGAATTTCAACGCATACACGTGTATAAAGAAAGCAAGGATGGATTCTAACGTATTTATTTTTGAAAAGACTAGAATGTCTGTAGCGAGTTTCTGATGTCTACTGCGAGTATATGAGTATATGCCACTCCAGTAGCATATACTTATATACACTACAGACCTCGCTGTAGTAGATTATATAGAGTGGATATGGATATTGTGAGCGATTTTAATTACCGTTGTAGGGGGTGCGAGAACATCTCAAAAATTTCCGAGGGGCACGGGTGGGGCAAAGGTTGAGAAGCACTGATTTACAACGATGTCATTCAAACAAAACAACAAATGCTTATAGACATAACACTGAGCGGGCAATCAAGCTGCTAAATTAATTCGAAACCAAGTTGAGCGGCAGTTGATGATGATACTGATGACACATCGGAGCGTGCATTCACCAACTCTGGTCTACTGCTATATGCAACGAATAATGGTTGTTGGTTGGCAGATTTGCGGTCATCTGCGCAAACGTCTATTATTCCTTCCTGGAATCAATGGCGCACGTAACAGTGATAATGATAATGACAATGACGAGTAAAACGAACCGAAACTAAAAAATCGATGGATGATCGATAATGAAGCCTCGAGAGAACAACAAAGCCTAACGAACAGCCCGGCTCGATCTGATCGACTGACATCTTGGTGAATTTATTGCAGTGGAATTGATTACACTGTTGCGGTATCTGCTCGGCTGGCATGGCTTCATGAGCAATGTGCGGATCCAGATAGATGAGACTCTTCAATTTTAGTTTGCTTTTTGTAAGTGTTCATGATGGCGATCGCATGAAACTTACATCGTTATTATATGAACCAATGAAGTAGAGTGATCGTCTTTTGTGTCCTCCAATGATACCAACTGAATTTTGCATTGAGAAGAATTTGATCAGATGTTGATGATAACACTGAAATTGAATTATTAGAAGTGGATAGGCAGTGAAGAAAGACGCACCTGATTGACGGTGGATGCACAGCCCAACTGCAGATGGACAATGACGAGGATCGGAATACGGAACTGATTCGACAACTCATCCACCTCGGACTCAATCAACATGCCATCGTTGACTGAATAGATTCGCAACGAGTGCAGCAGGGAACATTCACTTTTCAGCACTGCCTCTCTGTAGTGCACTTATGTTTCGCTTCATTGCTGTATAGATGTACAGGTGTAAGTGATTATTACCTGATCAATGCGAACGCGTTCGAAGGAGAAAACCAAGATCCGACGGCTCGTTGATGTGACGACGACCCGTTCGCGATACTCATCAATCGATACAAACCCAACTCACAGCCGACGCTATCACCGAACAACGACACGATCTCGTAATGACTCACTCCATTTATCAACACATTCCTTTCCTTATCCCCACTGAATCGCCAATCTGTTTATCACTGATCATTAAGCCTTTACTACCGCTTATCAATAAGCACACATCGTTTTGATCAATCACCGTCTCTTTCCGGCACAAAACACTCGCAAAGAGATTACTCCTAAGAACGACGACCATACGGAATCTGATAGAATCACTTTATGGATACAATTAATAAATGTAAAACATGCCCCGTCCAAGCCATATCTGCGTGAGTGTTTGTGCAAGCATCATCTGACAAGTCCTCAGGGTACATCCCCACCCGCAGTCACTCGTTTTGTTCGAGTCAGGTAACGGCGACAGTTTTGTGCGGTACGTCAACCAAATACGACTGTAGTAATCCAGCAAATACTCACTGAACAACGCTTCATCCTCATCTGTCATCATTCATTTCTATATTACAGTAATAACAATAATAATAACGATAATGTTAATAATAATAATAACGATAATAATAATAATAATGACAATAGTAATAACAATATTAAAGGAGCAAGGACCTGCATCAGAACGAGTAGTGAAATAAGGCTGACCCAACAGCCACAAAGGAGCATTTTTGTGATAACGATTCGACTTGTTGTAATAATCGAGTCTCCATTTGCCATAAATAAATGAATAAAGTTGATTATCAATCAACTGACGCAATGCCATTGATGATGTGGATGCGCTTTGCATTTGATCACTGTCCATTGTGCTTGATGAGGAGGACCTTTTCAACACCCATCCGATATTCTCACTTACTCTGAA